CAGTGGTCAGTAAAAGCTTGAGGGCAATGACGCCCTGGAGGGGCCCCATTCCAGGACACACTCTGTCTACTCCCAAAGCAGTCGGGGCCTCCGAGTGCAGACACAGTTACACATGAGGACAGAAGGCCCCTGTGCACTACTCAGGTTACCTAACCTTTTCACCAGCAGACAGTAAGGGGAAGAACCCTTGCTGAAAACGGCACCCTCTTTGGAATGGGTGTGGCATCTTCACCAAGAGCTGTGTGCTTGTGTGTGCTGCACAGAGGACAGAAAGCCCAACACTCTAAACGCCTCTTTACCAACAGAAAATGCAGTAAACGTAATGTTCACAGAGCTTGAATTTATTTTACCTTAAATAGAGAGGCATTTTTAAAAAGCTTCAATAAGTTTAATGCTTTTAAAAAAAAATCCAAGATACCAACACATTTTTCATGGTCCAGAAACGATCCCATGTAGTTTCTTTAACAAGTCATTTGTAATACATCTCTCATCTTTATGGAAGAATATTCTTCAATAACATTCATATGTTCTCTCTATATATAAATACTGTGAAATAGTCCGTCCATATAGTGAATATTTTTAAGGGGGAAAAAGTATACATTAGTGGTCGTTCTTTTAAAAACATACAATTTGTTTGGGGAAGTGGAAACAATTTTAATAACCATTTGACTCCATCCCCTGTGACAGTTAAGGAAGTGGTGTGAGGAGCCATCCCCTCTCCCTGTGGCCCAGAGTGTCACAAAATGGTGGAAGAGTGCTCACTAGCGAGTTCCTTCCAGGGTCTTTACCGCACAGAAGGATTACCCAACGTGCCCACTGACACGCACAGAAGGGGAGCCGAGTCTGCCTCCTAGCATTGGTTCGTAGGCCGACATTTTACACCACTGAACATCAGCAGACGGACCCGCTCTCCAATGAGAACGTGCTCTGAGGAACCTGTCACAGGACTCTTGGTGCCAGTGGTCGGCACATGAGCAGGCCCTTCACACAAAGGCTGGCCGGTGCAGGTGCAACGTGAAGGCTGGGCATGGAATGGCACATGGGGAACACGTCCCCTCTGCTCTGAGCAACACCAGAGGACAGGACTTAGGGGCTGGGCTGTGGCGGCACGGGACACGCCACCAAAATAAACATGGACGGGGAAGCAGGCTGCACTGGAAATGTGGGGGCTGCCCAGTAATGTGGACCTGCCCGCCATGTTTGCTGACTTCTGGAGGAACAAGCAGGACTGTGAAGCCTGCCAAACTCTGGATAGCCTGGGCCAGAGCAGGGAGGAGAGCCACACAGCCTTACAGCTTCTACCAAAAAAACCAAACTCACTGCTGTCCAGTTGGATCCGACTCATAGCGACCCCTCCTTGGGTTTCCGAGGCAGTATCTCTATGGAAGTAGATTGCCCAACCTTCCTTCCGAGGAGTGGCTGGTGGGTTTGAACCACCAGCCTTCTGGTTAGTAGTTAAATGCCTTAGGCACTATGCCACCAGAGCTCCCTTCCAGCTTCTAGGGGAACAGAATTAAAAAGGGACAGTTTCAAAGCAATTGGTGTTTAGCCCTTTAGCAATGTGTTCTAATTAGTTTGAAGTGTCAATGGGTTCTTCAACAAACTTAGAAATACATTTAGGTAGGGACCGTGGGCACTTATGATATGTGTGATGTCGGGAAGTGGGAAGTGTCCAGGCTTCAGCCAAAGCCAGCTGAGGTCTGAACATATTTTGAATGTCACTCAGTCCCCTCCCCTGTGTTTGGACGTATCTGAATTGTCTTCAGTGGCTCTGTGGGACTCACCCTTTTTCCTACCTTAAACATAATCGCAGGCGCGTCTCTGATTTAGTCGGCTTATGCTTCACCACTTCTAGTCTAGTGCTGAAATCAACGTGGTTTAGTTTCTAAGGCTTCTAGCTTTTGGAAGGTTGGCCTGACCAAGGTTAGTGTAGCAGTTAGTACCTTTATGACCCCTTCCAAACCACCCAACACATCCCAGGTTCAAATGAGCTGGCTTCTAGATTAACAGGAGTTCTCTGGAACGAGGAGGTGGAGGAGCGGACACGGATTGTCTACCTTAGAGTCTAGGAGCTACTACGCTATTCAAATTTTAAGTCTTTTCAAAAGTGATGCATGAGGTACAGCTCCCTCTGCAATGAAGGGGCTCCTCCCTGGGGGTCAGACACAGTCCTGGCGTTGGTGGTCTTGCCACATCTCTGCCTGTCTTGAGCACTGGGACCACTTCTCTCCAGTTCCTGCCCTAGCGTGTCTCGCTGCTCTGTGTGTCCACCTCAAGAGCCGGTACTTCACTGAAGGATGGTGACGGGAAGGTGACCTGGGTGTAGTCACTGTGGGGCCAGCCAATGGTTTCCAGTATTTATCACTTTCTCCAGCAACTCCTTCCATCCTAGATGCAAAAACGCACTACCAGGTGGCTGCTTTCCCATTTTTGAAAAAAGTGAAAAACAGGGATGTCAAGACCAAGCATGATGAGCTTATATCCAAGCCACAGCCTGCGGGAACGCCCCCAGAGAAGACTCTCGGGCCACACCCACAGTCCCTGACCCTGACCTCAAGTCTCACTTTTCCCACGAGAATAATCAAGGAACGTGATTCAGAAATCATTCCATCCTGCATTTTATTCAATTCCATATGACAAAATAGGACCCTAGACTGAGACATCCATTTCAATCAGCAGGTGTGTCGAGCCACAAGATTTCATAATAAAAAATATTGGATCTAGGTAACAACTCCCCGCTCCCAGGGAGGAGCCAGCCCCACGTGCTATTGCAGTATAAAAATATGTCTCTTCCCCACGCAGAGGGGCCAGCGGGCCCTGCACACCGGGGCCAGTCTCACTGGCTGCTCGAGCCATCTTATGTACAGCACTCTACACGTCCTTGTTCAGTTATATACATATCCTTGTGGGACAAAAGATAACACTACATGGTACCCGAGACAACAACAATGACAACTTCACACGGGAAAGGACAGATCAAGAGGCCGGCCATCGAGCTGCTGAACCATGGCTGCGTGAAGCCGCCTCAGCTTTCTCTGTCTGATGCTTGAACCACCCAGGGGACTCATGCCGCCATCAGAGACGGCCTGGCACTCGATGCTGTGGCTCGTTACCACGGAAAACAGCCGTCGGGCACTCGTTTGCAGCAGGACGAGCAGCTAGTGCGTCCCCGAGCTTCTGCTCAACCATGCCATGGTTCAACAGTCCAGCCCCAGGTTTGTCGTTGCCGTGGCCACGTTGGAGGGCTTGTTCCGGTCTTCTGCGGTCACTGTGAGGACCTCACCGGTTCCCTCTAGAGAACACATGCCTGTCTGGCCGCACTGCAGCCAGCTGCCTTCCCGTCCCCTGGGCAAGGCAGCGGGAAGGAACTTCCCCAGCTCCGGCTCCGGTTCCACTGCAATGCGCAACAATGAGGTAGTACACAGCACACTTCCTTGTCCAGTTTTGATGTCACCTAGCCTCCCCGCACCCCTGAGGAAGGTAGAACGGGTTCCTTCCCTGATGGGGTCCCATGCCAACTCTGGACTCAGCCTCCAACGGCACAGTCAGCAGCAGACACTGTGCTCTGGTTTCATCAGAGAAGCTGTCAGACAGGCCAGGTACTCGGAACGTGTCCACATTCTAACTGCATCATGCCAGGCAGCAGTGTGTCATCCTGCTTCACTGGTATTGTATACCCTACCTGGCACCGTTAGGTGGTCGACAGACCAGGCTTTACAGTAAAGTGATACCCACACAACGTTCTCTTTCATGATCTCCTGGCTCAGATGGATGTCACAGTCCTAAAATTAATTTGTCTAGAGTTTGGTCAAGAGTGGTCATGGTTTTGAAAAGGGCTCTGTAGAAAATTAAACAAATCGTTTTAATTTACGAAACAGCAGGCCCTATTCTACAGAGCAGCTGACACGTCTCGGTGGCTTTTCGGTTTAAATAGCGCAGATTTCTCATATCGTTTGATCTGAAGACAAGAAACTGTGACAGTTTTTTTCCCCATTTTCCTTAAACCAAAGTACTATTTATAAAATACTTTACATCTTTTTTCAATTTTCAAATTATAGACAAACCTCCCTAATACAAAATACTAAAAGTGCAAGAGTATAAATTACGAGTTTGCAACCACATCATACAAACGTTACCTTTTTATTGTACAGCTTCGAGAGCGTGACATACTGACTCACAACTGTTTCTAAGGTCATGAGTAACGCGTGATGATGTCTGTAACGTGTTCTCCAATCACTGGGCTGCAGACCGCACTACACATTTCCTCTCATATAACTGTCCATATAGCAGCTACAGACATTTAAATTAAAAAAAAGAAAAAGTCTGTTACTGACAGGTACTTGCACATGAAAGCATGCTATCTTTCCCAATGAAACGTCACAATTTTGCCTGCATTGAAATAATCCACTTATTTATAGAACAAATCTTGCTTTAAAAAGAGAAGTCACATAGCCAGATGTACTCTACAGTGAAAAAGCTTCACTGAGGGTTGGGCTATCATATTGTCTGTTACCCGCATAATCTTAACATTATAAATACTACAGACGAGGATACCGTAGTCACACACAGCATCGGGCACTAAGCCATGTCTCTGTAAGATTAGGATGTCTAGAAACAGTTCAAGTTGCTAATGAACGCAAACAGAATCATCGTTCGCCGGACAGGCTTGCAGCAGGGAAGCCCCTCCGGCCCCTCTCCGGGGACTGTGACGCTGTAGAAGCAGCAGAGTTGGACGCAGCCTAAGCACTCAGTTCTGAGGAGGCTTCCCCAGGACTTCTCGGGACTTAGGGTTCGTTAGAGGCTTTGAGTTCTCAGTGACAGCCACACTCACTGTGGAAGAACCCCGCAGCCCCCTGGGACACACTCCAGCAACCACACCCCGTGCATTTTCTGCTAGGGGTGGAATTGTGACGAGAACCTAGGCGTTTAAGGTCCTAAGACTAGTGCTCAAACGTCAAGATCTGTACACGGGACAGAGCCAACGTGTCGTGTGCCCGCATCTAGTTTATACCGATCTCCTTGTTGTCCTCAACGAACCTCGTGAATGGGCGGCTGGCCCCTGTCTCCGAGCTCGCTTTGTCCAAGCTGACAGTGGGGGGGCTGCTGCCACTGCGTGCCTTGTCCATCCCACTACCGAGGCTGCCCAGAGGGGGGATGGCGCTGCCACCAAGGCTGACAGGGAGCTGGGGGACACCCCCGTTCTGTATGACAGAGATCTCATTGTTCTTCATGGCAAGGCCATTCGTGATGGCTGCAGCATACTGGTTCCAAAAGCTGGGGTCCACATTCATGGCTCGAGCTGCCAGATCCTTCTGGAACATTTCAGAAAACTTGAGGGCATCTCCCCCTAACAGAGCCATGGGGTTTTCCACTGAGAGCCGGCGGCCTCGTCTGGCAGGGGCATTATTCCACATGTGAGTCCCCATGTGAACCTGCATGTGAGACACGAGAGAGACAGCCCACACGTGAGCAAGTGTGCGAGACACGACAGAGACAGCCCACATGTGTGCAAGACATGAGGGAGAGCTCACATTTAAGCAAATGTGCGAGACATGACAGCTCACACATGAGCAAGTGTGTGAGACACATGAGGCACAGCCCACACATGAGCAAGTGTGCAAGACATATGAGAGACAGCCCACATGTGAGCAAGTGTGTGAGATATGATAGTGACAGCCCATACATGAGCAAGTGTGCAAAACATGAGAGACAGCCCACTTGGGAGCAAATGTGCAAGATGTGTGAGAGACAGTCCATATGCGAGCAAGTATATGAAACATGAGACAGCCCACACATGAGCAAGTGTGTGAGACATGACAGAGACAGCCCACACCTGAGCAAGTGTGCGAGACATGACAGCTAACATGTGAACAAGTATTCAAAACACGAGACAGCCCATACATGGGCAAGAGTGTGGGACACACGTGAGACAGCCCACACGTGAGCAAGCATGCAGGACATGACAACTCACATGTGAGCAAGTGTGCAAGACACCAGAGACAGCCACACATGAGTGAGAGTGTGAGATGAAAGACAGCCCACATGTAACTGTGTGAGACATGACTCATGTGAGTGTGTGAGACACATGGCAGCCCATACATGAATGAGTGTGCCAGATGAGAAAGAGACAGTCCACATGAAAGCCAGTGTGTGAGATGAGAGGCAGCCACACATGAGTGAGTGTGCAAAATGACAGTCCACATGCAAGTGTGTGAGATGACAGAGAGCCCACATGTGAGCAAGTGTACAAGGCACAAGACAGACTATAGCGTGTGAGATGAGAAAAAGCCACATGTGAGTAAGAATACAAGACATGATAGCCCACACGTGCGTGCAAGACAAGAGACAGCCTATATGCAAGTATGTGAGATGAGACAGCCCACACATGAGTGTGCAAGACATGAGACAGCCCACATGAGTGTGTGATGAGATATCCCACATGCAAGTGAGTGTGTAAGACACGAGAGACTGACCCATGTGAGTGAGTGTGTAAGAGGAAGGGCCACATATTAGTGAGCATGAAAGAAATGAGAGCCCCACACAAGTGAGGGTGCAGGATGAGAGAGTCCACATGTGAGTGTGTGAGATGAGAGCCCACATGTGAGTGAGTGTGAGAGATATGACAGCCACATGCAAGTGTGCAAGATACAAAACAGCCCACATGTGAGTATTCAAGTTGACACAGCCCACATGTGAGCAAGTGTATGGCACATGAAACAGCCCACACACATGTGCAAGACATGAGAGCCTACACCTGAGCAAGTGTGTGAGATCAGACAGCCCACGTGAGTGAGTGTGCAAGATAGCCAACACATAAGGGAGTATGTGAAACATGAGAGACAGACCCTTGTGATTGAGTGTGTCAGACAAGAGAGATAGCCTCACATGAGTGTACAAGATGAGACAGTCCACACACAAGCACGTGTGCAAGATGTGAGAGATCGCTCATACATGAGCAAATGAGACATTGAGACAAACACAAGAGAGCAAGTGAGAGAGATCAGAGAGCACACTCACGTGAGTGAGTGTGCAAGATAAGGCAACCCCACACACGAGTGAGTGTGCAAGATGAGAGAGCCCCACGCGAATGTGCGAGATACAAGACACAGCCCCACATGAGCAAGTGCAGGCGGAGGTGGTTGGTCTGTCCCCTCTTTAATCATTTCAATCCGGTGACGACCGCGGAGCCACTGAGGGACATGTAGCCTTCGTTTCTCAGGGACTTTTCTCTCCTCTTCCTGAGAGAGAGTTTGGGGCGTCAAACAGAGTGATGTCCACTTCTCTGACCATCTCACCCTCAAATAAGTAATGCTTGTTTTTATTATGTACGGGGAAGCCAATAAATAAATTAATGAAAGGGTTTCTTCCAGTTGACAAACTTGACGAGACTGAACAAGTCCCATTAAGGCATCAAACCTGCACGGCTGCCGGGGGAATGCCTAACCACTGGGGAAAGAAGGTCCGACCCCTCCACTCACCAACACCCCACAGTCCTTTTGCCTGTCCCTCCATCCGATCCTTCTGAACCATCTTCCAGGTTTGAGTCTGCTTTTATTTCTCAAGGAAACATTGATTTGAAAACATCCAGGGGCAACCGTAGCTGGCAGAGAGCCCGCAGGCTGCTTCTGACATATGGAGACAAGCCCCATCCAAGCCAATATTAGGTCCCGATCTTGGACGTGTCTCTGGAGGGGGCCTGGAGACCCCACAGATGTACACCTTACATGGAGCAAGACAGCACAAGCACACGGGCCTGAGCTGGGTGACCTCACATCCTACCACGGTCTGCCTCCCGAAGAAGACGGGCAAGGGTGTCCCGTACAACACAGCACAGCACTCACTCTTCCCTCTACTGCCAAACACCATGCCAGCTCCTCTGGACAGCCTCATGAACAAGACAATGGAATGTTCTAGAAACCACAGAGCACACCTCGCCCATGAGGTGACCTTCCAACTGGTAGCACGTGACAGTGTTCAAAGGCCACATTTACTTTGTATCAGCCACAGATTCAAGAAAGTGCTGGGCTCTGGCTTTGTCCACCACCTGTGTGATATCACCACCTAAGTCACACACTGGCCATGGCCCCTCAAGGCCAGCAGCTGCCTGGGCCTCTGGGAAGAGGTAGGGCTTACGACAGAGAGTGAGCCCGGAAGGCTGTACAACAGAGCACACACCACTCAGGATGTGTGGGCACATGCACGCACGCTTACGTGTACACACACATGTACACACCACCCTCCGTGGCACGACCCACCACCAGGCCCTGACCCCAGTGGCACCTCTGCCAGTCTGTTCTGTCTACCTCCCCACTTCGTGTGCCAGCTTTGGACCAAAGCCTCTCCTCTTACCTTAAGGTTCCCCTTGGTGGTGAATGCTCTACCACAGATCGTGCAGCCAAAGGGCTTCTCCCCCGTGTGGGTGCGCTCGTGGATCTGCAGAGCGCTGGCTGAGGAGAAGGTCTTCCCACATGACTGACAGTTGTGCTGCTTGGGGGTCCGGCGTGGTGGAGGGGCCAGCAGGGGAGTGACGCCAGGGCTCATCACTGTCTGTGGCCCCACGGGGGCCTGGATTCCGGCCGGCAGCGGGGGGCCCTCGCCCAGCGAGCCCGGCTTGCTGTGGCCATTCACTTCCATTCTGATCATGGTGGGCGCGGTGCTGGCAACCAGGCTAGGAGAGCTTTGGCTGGGACCTAGAGCAAAGTCGGGGTCAGATAACTGAGAAGGCAGCTCTCGTAATGTGTGTGTCAGCAAGTGCTGTTTCAAATTACCCATAGTGGAGCACCCTCGGCTGCAGGCGGAGCAGACGAAGGGCCGCTCCTTAGTGTGGCTACGGTAGTGAATGTCCAAAGCGCTCCTGCAAGCGAAGGGCTTGCCACAGAGGCTACACACGGTGCTTTTACACTTACCCCGTTCTCTGCTCAGGAACAGCAGGCTAAAGGGGGCCTCCTCCTTGACCACCGGCCGGCCCGGGGTGGCCGCCCTCAGGTCCAGGGCACCGCCGTTCTCGGCCGCCAGGGCAGGGCTGTCCGGCTTTTCCGTCTTCAGCGGTATCTCTGGGGGCTCCTCCTGGTTGCTGAGGCCAGGGGACTTGGACCGGAAGCTCTCACCATTGCTGTGGGTCGGGGACAGGGCCTGCATGGAGGACGATGACTCGGAAGTGGCCGGGCTGCCCGCACTCTGGCTCTCCAGGTCGCCCACGGCCGACGAGGAGTCGTTGCTCAGACGGTCGCTCTCCCCAGACCCGTTCTCCAGGGCCTTGAGGCCAGTCAGCTGCTGGCAGCTCATGACAGAGTCGATCATCTTCATCTGGTTCTCCAGGGCGGCGATGCTGGAGATGACTGGGGGCGGGGAGGGCGGGCAGGAGCCAGGGAAGGCCAGGAGGGGCTTGGCTGTGTCGCCCGCCGGCTCCTTCAGCTCGGGGTCCTCCTCCAGGGAGTTCTCGTCCATGTCGTCGTCGTAGCTGCTCAGGGCGTCCGCGCTCTTGTCGTCATAGAGGGGCTCGGCGTCCATGGCCTCCTGGAAGGCCTCGGGCAGGGGGGTGTTGGGGATCTGGCCCCCCATGTGCATACGGATATGCTGCTGCAGCACCACAGCGTTGGTGAACTTCTTCTGGCAGATGGGGCAGGAGTGCTGCACCCTGAGCGGCGGCTTGGCCCGGTGCACGCCGAAGTGCGTCTTCAGGTTGCCCTTGGTGGTGAAGGCACGGCCGCAGATCTTGCACTTGAAGGGCCGCTCCCCGGTGTGCGTCCGGTAGTGCATCTTGAGGGCACTCTGACAGCTCAGCACCCGGTGGCAGATGACACACTGGTTGGGGTCTGTCATCTTCTTGTCTATGTTCTCCACCAGCTGCTGGAGCTTTGAGGTCTCCGATGTTTGCATAGAGTCCAGCAGGCCGCCAAACGGGAACTTCGCCTTGAACTGGTCCGACATGGCCGGAAGCACTGGGTTGGACAGGCTCGAGGACACGCTGCCGTCAGCGGTTGTGGTGGCCACGGGCATGGGTGTGGGGACGGCCTGCCCACCGGCGGGGGGGTCCCCGGCCCTGGCATTTGGGGGTGGCAGGCTGAGGGGCTCGGTTTTGGTCAGAGAGGCCATGCTGAGGCCTGGCTGTGGGGACTCGGCTGCCACTGTGCCGCCGGACTCAGAGTTGTTGAGGCCGGGGGACAGGGAGGTGCACTCGCTGGAGGCGGGCGAGGGTCTCTGTGGGGAGCGGCTCACCGGCGTGAGGCTGGGCGAGTCAGTGAAGCCGGGCACGGTGGGTGGGAGCTGCAGCCCCAGGGACGTGGGCACCGTCGGCAGCACCGGCTTGCTGTCCAGCCAAGTGGTCACGGGCTTTTCAGGAGGCAGGGACATGCCGTAGGGGATGCCGGAGCAGGTGGGCACGTTGTCCAGGTACTCGGGCACAGGGTAGGGGTTCATCTGGATGTGGGGGTACTTCTCCTTGTGCCTCTGGAAGTGGACCTTCAGGTTGCCTTTGGTGGAGAAGCGGTTGCCACAGACGTTGCACTTGAAGGGCCGCTCCCCGGTGTGTGAGCGCAGGTGGATCTGCAGGGCGCTGTCGCTGCCAAAGACCTTGGCACAGAACCTGCACTTGTGCTTGAAGAAGGGGTCCTCGGTGCTCGCCTTGGGCTCAAACACGGACACGTTGGGCGGCTTCCCTTTGCGGTGTTTCATGAGGGCCGCCAGGGGGTCCAGTGCGTTGGCTGTGGCCGCGATGCTGACCAGTGGGTTGGGGAAGATGACGCTGCTCGAGGAGGTCTGAGGTAGAAGTGGGTTTGGCAGACTGGGTGCTTGGGGCAGGAGTGCCCCGGGGCCCAGAGTGGGGGGCGTCGGGGCATTCTGCGGCCGGGACGAGCTGCTGGCGGTGCTGGGGACCAAGGCAGGGGTCACTGAGGTGGGGGCCGTGCTGGAAGATGCAGGGCCACTGGGCTCCGAGGGCACCACGGGGCTGCTGCCGGGGATGCCAGGGGTGCTGGGCCCGGCCACCGGCTGCGAGAGGAGCGGAGGCCCCTCGAAGGTGGCCGGCGGGCCACTGGGGGTGGGCACTGTGGTGGCAGGGGGCACCACGGCCGAGAGCTGGAGGGCAGGGTGTGTGGCAAAGCCCTGCAGCTGGCTGGCGGCTGGCCCAGGTGCGCTCGGGGCGGCCGCGGCTGCGGTGGGATTCCGGGCTGGCCGCACTGGTTGGCGGCTCATCATGGCCACCTGGCTGCGTATCTGCTCGATCAGCTGCAGCTGCTGGATCTGCTGTTGCTGCAGGGCCACCAGCTGCTCGAGGATCGTGGGGATGGCCACGGCCGAGACCCCGCCGGCCGGGCCCGCGCCGCCCGCCGCCCGCGCACTCTGCGAGAACTGGGCCACAGCCACCTTGGTGCTCAGCAAGGTCTCGAGGGTCACGTTGGTGCTGGGCATGCTGTAGCTGGCCGTGGCCGTGGGCTCGGGGCCCTGGGCTGGCGGGTCCTTGGCAGTGGCCACCGCACCCTGGCTCGGGTAGCCTTTGTCCCCAGGGCTCTCCACGTCCATGGGCTCGTTGTCTTTCTCCGCGGCCTTCAGCTCGCCACCCTCAGCCTCGGCCGGGGCGGCCTCTTCAGCGGCCTCGCTCTCGGCCGGCTCGCTGGGAGAGCTGGCGGGAGAAGGTTCTGGAAAGTCCTCGGCGGGCGGCGCTGGCTCATCTTCGTGCACGATCAGCACCAGTGGGTTCTTGGTGCAGCTCTTCTTGTGCGCCAGGAAGTCGGTCCACTTGAAGAACTCGGCGCAGCACTTCTCACACACGCTGGTCTCCTCGCTCCCGCTCCGGCTCTCGTTCCCACTGTCGCCGTCATCGGCGCCTTCCCCCGGGGCGGCTAGAAAACCAAAAGATCGCATCAGCCAATGCCTGCTGGCCAGCCCTCCCTCCATTGCAGAATTTTGCACATCGGTGAAATCAATATTTTTTATTTTGTACAAATTACCCCACTTCAACCATCCTGACGCCCGGCCTGTGTGTTCTACGCCTTTCGAACTAGCTAATCGTTTTCTTAGCACAATCCATCGAGTTATGAGGCTCCATCAATCGCGGATACCGCTTCTTAATGAAATTCCATAGAAGGCATTGATTTCCAATATTTTCATACAACCGCAGCTACCTCGCTGCCCGGTACACAGTCAGCCTTCGACCGGCCTTTCGGATCCCCTTCACCGTCAGGCTTCCTTGGCTCCAGCTGTCGCCAGGTCGCTTAGCATTGCTAAGCTAATCTGTAACCTCTCAAGCTCCCATCAGCCCCTGACAGGGCACGCCAGGCCTGGCCACTCACGTGCGGCTATGGACCCCCTGGCTTTGTTATCTGAGGCGCCTAGACCCCGGGCTCCGTGGGGCTTCTGATACCTTTCAGATCAATACGTAGTTATGCTACGTGGGAAATTTCAGTTAAAGGCTCTCATTTGTGAGTGTAACAAAGAAAACACCAACACGCCTCACTCTGCACAGAGATACCACCGGCCAGCCCAGCGATGGGTTAACAGATCCTTCACCAGGTTCCTCCCTCCCGGATTTGCTCACAGACATGGCAAGTGTCTCTGTTAGCATCTGCAAAAGGACTGTCAATATGGCCTGGGCCAGCACTGATAATGCCCATAATGCCCGATGCAATTAATCGGCTCCATCAGAGGCAATATTTCTGGGCAAAATGAACTAAAATGACATGTTACTGCTATTAGTCAATAGAGTTCCATGGCTTGTTAACAACCTAGAAATTATACATTTAAAGTTCATTTATGTTGCCCCGTTTAACACGAGAGTGTTGGAGTCAAGTGCACTTTGGTCCCTACTCTCGCAGAAAGACTAAGCAGATGATATGCTGGGCTATAGCAGAACCCCGCGAATTGGTTACCCAAGTTTAATTACCAGTGCAGGCAGGCGCTGCCTCTGACTCCTGGGCCCTCTTGTGCCGAACAGCGTGTTTAATGAGCAGTTCTAATTCCCACCTGATCGAATAAACAGCTACACGGGCTGGGAGCAACAGACACTAACATGTGTGGCCTCCCTCTCTCGGGCGTTCGGGCGAACAGGTTGCTGACAATGACCCAGGCCTGGACACTGCTCATCGTCACTGCTTGCTGTCAACCTGCAGATGGTGGGACAGCAATGAGTCAAACAGGGTGGAATGACAGGCCCAGCCACTCTGTCCAACACACAGAGCTGAGTGAGACAGGAGCCCAGCTTCAGGGTCTGGGGCCACAACCCCACAAACGTATTTGTGACAGCCTCTGGCACGGCCGCTGTTTTCTTCACGGGTTTGGAAAAGAGAGCCGAGCTCAGCACTGGTGCCAGCAGAGAGACTGGGCTTTGAAAAAAGTCCCTGGAAAAAAGGAAAAGCCACAGTCCCTCTCCTGGAAAGGAAAAGAAAAGAGAAAAATTGTTTGTTTTCTTTTTCCTTTTTTTTTTTTTTTTTTTTGAGGCTAGCCTGCTGCCCTCCACGAGGCCATTAGCATCAGGCAATCGGTACACGGCTTTAAAGATTATTAGCAGCGTTCAATTAGCATTTTCCTAACTGGCTAAAGCGTTTGGAGGGAAAAGAAGCTGGAGCTTGCAGGCCATAAAGACCTGCTAGACTTTTAAACTAGACTCAGAGCCAAAGAGAGTGGCATGGAGCTTCCTGACAGTGCGAAGCACGGAACGCAGTAGGTGTCAGCGATGAGGACGCACAGAGCTGAGGGCCAACGCACAGTGCATTTATACAACACATAGGGACGTTAGCAAACTAAATAGCCAGAGTCCCGAACTGGACCCAGGGAATGCAAAACCTAACTGTAAACCGGGGAGGGTTATGGAACAGAAACAAAGAGCAGCTAAGATCTCCAGGTAATTTCTTCCTGACTGATGAGAGCTGTCGCGGAGTCTATCCAGGATTCTGATACCCGTCACAGAACACCAAGAACTGCTACGTTCCAACGTCTTTGTAAGAGCAGTGGCATGGCCTTCTGCACGCCCGTCTACGGAAAGGAGATTGAAGGCCGTTTACAAACACCACGGCAATCACGGTCTCTACATCAAGAAGCTCACGCAGAAATCACTACCGCAAATAAGTGAGGAGAGAACGCTTCCGGAAGGTGAATCCCACTAGTTTAAAACTATGGTGTAAGAGGCCTGGGTAGACTTTTCATAAAGAAACGTTGTAATTTTAATAACTTGTTGAAAAGGAAACCCCTTGGAAGTGAAAAAAGGCTGCCAATTTCTTGGCGTAATTTCTACTTTTAACTCTTAGTGGAGTTAGAGTTTATAACTTGCATGCTATACAAAAAACATCTCAATGGTCTACCAACTTTAAACCTTACAACATGAAGCTATTTTCAGCTCACTCAAAGACTAGTTTTTCCTCCTGTGAGATCTATATGAGGGGCAATCCACCGAGAAGGTGCCTGTGCCTGTGGGTCGGCCTGAGCTCTGCAACGCTGAAGATGCATTTGCAAGGACAGTTTGTGAAGGCTGAGTTTACATAACTGTAAATAAATCCTTTCTGGACAAACACACATTTTGCAGGTTTCCTGTGGGATCAACTCTGGCATGTGAACCGGGGAAGTAGCAGTTTTGTTGAACACTGAGCCTCTATCGGAGGTCTCAGCACCTCCAATAAATCTCCCTTCATCTTAAAGATTTAAATGTGTACCATCCCATTAGTTTTTCAGGTGCTAAGTATTTTCAGGGGGTCCTTCCAACCTGGTGGGAGTTTGAGGATGGATCCCACTGTAATTCCCTTTGGCCTATGGTGGGTTTGTGACCTCATGAGTGTTCCTCACTTGAGGAAACTGTGTGCAGAACATGGAAGCACTTGGTGCCATGTCACAAAAGCTGTTTTCCTTAACACACCCTTGAGCCACAGTTACCTAAACACACTGCAGCTATTCTTGTCAGAGTGAAATCACCTTCTGCTCCTGTTCCTTCAAGACTGAAGAAGGAAATTGTCCTCAATTTCCAAACAGCCTTCTGGCCGTTCGGGCCTGGTCACAGTTCACTATGCAGATGAACCGAACCAAAGAGACAAGCGCTGGGCTCGATAAGCAAAGCTTCATAATAAATTTGACTTTGGACTCAAATGCATTTTAAAAGCTACAATTGTCATCATTGTTATGTGCTGTTGTGTCAGACCTGACTCATAGTGACCCCTCCTTGGGTTTCTGAGGCAGTATCACTATGGAAGTAGATTGCCCAACCTTCCTTCCAGGAGTGGCTGGTAGGTTTGAACCGCCAGCCTTCTGGTTAGCAGTCAAGTGCCTTAGGCACTACACCACCAGAGCTCCTAAAAGCTACAATTGTTGTTGTTGTTATGCGCCATCGAGTTGGACCCGACTCACAGCAACCCCTCCTTGGGTTTCCGAGGCAGTATCACTACGGAAGTACATTGCCCCATCTTCCTTCCGAGGAGTGGCTGGTGGGTTTGAACTAGCAGCCTCTGGTTAGCAGTCAAGTGCCTTAGCCACTATGCTACCAGAGCTCCCAAAGCTACAATTAGTGGAGGAGAAAGGTCTTCAGCACAGTTCAGACTTCTTATTTTGGGCCAGTAACCTGGGGTCCCCCCCATCCTTTTTCAGGGGGTTTGTCGGAAATGTCAACAGTGCGATCGTGGGAATTGCTGCTGTCATGTGCTCGAGCCGGACCCATCTCACCCTCACATGTGCCTGGGATCAGCACCCCCGAAGGTGCAGACATGCACACGGTGCACAAGGCAGCCTCAGACACAGCGAAGGAGAAGGGGACGCTCGCTTCACCTACAGTGCGGTGGGGGTCTCCTACCTCCTGACAGCCCTTACCAATCATCATGACACGTCGATAGAACGCGTTGGGATGGATAAAACGAGCACCTGGTCACAGGCTGTCGGTTCCTGAGGAGACCACTGGCCAGCAGACCGGGCAGGTGCCGCCTGAGACGGCAAGGCCAGCCAGCCCGGCAGCCTGGGTGGCACTGGGCTCAGGGCTCAGATGCCGGGAGGGCAGTTTGCTTGTGCCCAGGCTGGCGTTACTGCTGGCACGCCTTTTCTGAGAGAATCTATATGGGAAAATCTGAACATAGCTCCCAATTTGATCTGTAAACTCACAAGCCTTGAAGCTTGCCACTCTTCTCAGCCAATATGATGTCAGATTCCAGTGTGTTTAACCATCTTTTAATTAAGTGTGAATCTTGAAGTGGCCTTTCTGTTCTACAAGGAGATGTTTTCACATCCACTGTTAATACGGCTCACTGTTTTTGTTTCCACGAAACACCATGGCAATGAGGCATTGTAACAGCAGTGGCAAATATGGGAAATTGATTTCCAATGCAATTTTCATCTTCTTTCTTTCTATCTTAAGGGGGGAATTAAAAAACAAGCATTGTAAACATTATCATTAATGTCACGGGAATTTATTTTTTGCACTGACTGTTCCACATCTAAGAGCTCTGAAACAGTAAAGAGGCAACGGTTTAAGCAGGCATTTATGGCACACCAGGGTTGTGTCACAACAGGGGACAGAAAGCCGGCCACCTCACTGAGTGCTACGGTTCAGCTCATACCTTCCCATCCAGTCATGGGGTTATTTGGGTCCAGGTGACTTTTCAAAAGTGCCAGTGGTATTTGCTGCGGGTTGGGTGGGCCTGGAGGAAGGTGGGGTGACTGCGCATAACCCCCCTGCCTAATGTCGACCATGTGCTCACGGTCACGGCCCCAGCAGCCCGCGCAGGCTTGTCAGCTACATGGCTTCCTCACGGCAGCCGGGAGGACAGAAGAAAAACGGCTGGGGACGTCCAATTACTTCCGCTTAAGAGAGGAAATGGATATAATTAGTCGGCAGGCCCACATTGGCTATTTATAGTTCGGATGTTCAGGGTTTCAAACCGAATCCCGGCTCAGACTAATCTGTAAGTTCTGCACATTTCTTAGCTCCACACGGGGGTTGGCAGGGGCTGACTCGGATAGGAGGCCACAACAAAAGAGCAGCTTCCAAGATGCTAATTTAAAAAAATGCATTGATTTGATTTTTTGCTTCTCCGACATAAAACGCACACAGCACAGTTAAGGACAAGGTCCCTTCTCTTGGGGATCAGCCCTGGCGCCTGGATTGCTGGGCTCTGGCTGAGTCCTGCCCCGTCTGAAGGGTCTCAGGTCCCTCAGGACCTTGGCTGCTTGGCTGGCCGAGCCCGTGGTGGTGTGGCAGGGGTACGCCGCTCACGGAGAACAGAGTTGGCAGCATTTTCGGAGTCTGGCAGTGCAGTGGGGCCCGTAGCTGCCAGGGCTGCGAAGACGCAGTTACAGTGCTCACGAGCGGCTGTGCAGAAGGGCACAGGTTTTGCAGTGACGGTGATGTTTGTCAGGCTCCGGGTGGGAAGCACTGCGGCCCCTGTACGGAAAAGCCGAGCCCGGTGCTTGTTTGGCTGTGAATTGTCACATTCGGGTTCCATCACGGCTCCTCTTAGTGTCTCTTTACGGGAACCCAGTCTTTGCAAAGGAGCTCATGATGACAGGGAAACAGACCCCGAGGGCCGGCGTTTGCTCAGCAGCCTGCGTGTCTCGCCTTCATCCTGCCGCCCTTCTGTGCGGTGAATCGAAGAGAAGCCACTGGTTCGGTACAGGAGAAGGCTGCTGACACCCCTTGGAATGGGCCCTTTCAGTGCCAGGGGGGTCTCCAGAAACAGGGCACCACACTTCTTTCCTTGAGCCTTACTTTACCATCCCTTACAAATCGAGAGTGTTTTTCAAGTTTTTCTACATTGTGAGCAGACACTTATTTTCTTGCAAATTAATTCTTTGTAACTCCTTATGACAGCTTTGAATCCCATAAAGAAAGATGAATGACCACATACGGGGCCCACGCTGTGAAACAGGGGGAGACAAACAGAGACCCCTACTGTGTCTAACAATGTAGAAGAAATTCCAGATGCAATAGAAAAATGTTCTGTCCTTTTCCACAGCCCTCCGGAGCCTGTCACCATGGAGTCGGGCAGATGGGGGCAGTCTTGCTATGCAGAAGTGCGGGCTGACCGGCAGCCTGTCTCTTCCGTGTAGCGACCACCTGTGGCACGGCCAGCAACTGTCTCTGTGACAACATTGGCAGCTTCTCCTCGGGGCGCTGAGGCAGCAGGGAGGGTGACACTGTGTCCTTCTACACACGTGTGATGAGAAGCAGCCACAGCACTCAGAACCAGTCCCAAGGGTAGGCCTGACGCTGCTTCTCGGAGGGTGTCCGTGGCACACCACCTCACGGCTGCTGTGCTGTCCTCGTACCGCTCTCTGCACCCCTGAACAATACCCGCGCCGGGGCAGGGCCCACAACAACGGGTCCCCGTGGTCCCTGTGGCTCTGGAGATTTCATCTCCTGGGACAGGCCCCCGAGTGTGACATTTGGGGTTACAGGTACTACTGCATGGCATGTGACTTGGAACATGTCTGAACACCACCCGAGCGCTGAGCTCTAGAGCCACGAGCGCTGTTCAAATCCTTGATGCATAAAAATGAGCAGATAAGCAAAACACCCCAGAGACCAGTGTCTCTATGACCCAGGGGCGCACAAACAATACTGTTTCCGGAAACACGAATACAATCAGCTGTGACATGTCGCCTGCTCACACCCTGGAGAGCTCACCAAACCGTTGCCTAGATGTCATCCCTCGACCACAGTGTGGCATTTCTGTGGACAAAGTTCATACATGGCCCTGGCCACTAGAGCCACAGGGCACACAGCCAGCCTCGCCACCAAATGGTCAGACAGGGTGCTCAGCGGGCTCTGAGCTGTTGGAAGCAGGACCAGAATGCTGGTGGTTGTAGGGGGGATGAGGTGCCCGGGCACCTGCCAGGTTAATGAAGCAGTTCAAGATGTGACACCCACAAAATCAAACCTGGGTCCCTTCCGTCAGAAGGACAAACCCTTGTGCTGCACTACAGGCCATTTCAGAAACACAGAGAAAATCGCAGGGTCTCTCGTTAGCACTCGACAGAACGTGTAAGCCTGGCTACCAAGGTCAGCTGCACAGATGTGCGCCCTGGCAGGGCCGCCCCGGCAGGGCCGCCCCGGCAGGGCCGAGCAAGCAAGGGTGAAGCAACAATGCCCGTCACAGACCTTGTAAGCACCCACCTTCAGGGAGAGCAAGCCCGCCGAGGTCGGCTAGCAGCAGGCCACCCCACTGCCGCAGGCATCGCACAATCACACTGACAGCATGCTGGCCACCAGCTTCCAGAAAAGGCACAAGGGTAGGGATCCCCAACAGCCAGCATAAAGAATCTGGGGGTGATTGGAAAAGACTAGACCACCCAGCAAAATATTTACATGCACACAGGCCTCATCACTTTTTCACCTCAAGACCTTGTTCCTTTGATTAACGAGCAAATCAACCTAAGTCACTAATACACACAAGAGCGTGACCTGACTTTAATATTACGATTAATATTTTCTGCTGTCTGTGCAATCACTTTGGTATTTGTATTCTTGGAGACCATACAAACAGCTAACTTCTAAATAAATGTGTTGAAATTGCAAGGGAAATGAATGATAGGGTTTTTATAATAAAACTTTATTTGCGGTAACATGACAACATGCCATTTCTACGTACGCTGTGCGTATGCTGGGTGGTATGGAAGCCACTTAGCCACTTAGCACAAGCCGTCGTTACAGACCTGACCCACCAGTAGTGGAATTAGCTGGGGCCTTAGGAGGCCCCCTAAGATATGTCTGTCTCACTCTGACACCTAGTCAAGAGAACACCCGTGACAACAGTAACGCCCAGCCAACGCTCCCTGTCAGAAGGCGAGCAGGAAGCTGTGGAGACCATGCTGCCGCACTGAGAGGGCCGGCCTCCCCTCAGCAGGTCAACAGACTTCTCTTTCACTTTAAAGCCACTGCCCATCCACACACTGAAGGGCGCTAAATTCCACCCGAGGCGCCCAGAACGTCAGCCCCGGCTGCTTCTTTGCAGAATGCCCCCGCAGAAGAGAAGGTCCGCGCTACCCCGCCAGCCCGCTAAAGCCTCTTAGAGACCCAGCTGTGCGGCGACCTGACCCACTTCTGCCTGCCCTCCCGCATCTTGTGCACAAACAATCAGCTTGCTGAGTAACCCCTGCCGTCTGCTGCCGCGCCTGCCTTTGCCCAGCTCTGAACAGGTCTAAAAATCCCAGCCCGAGCCTTGGGCAGGTTCCACCAAACGACGCACAGTCCCTCACCGGCTCATGGCACCGCTCCCTCTCGGAGGGAAACCAGCCCCTTCCTGGCTGACCGGCCCTGCTTGTTGAGCGTTTTGCAGGAGGCGAAGTTTTCTAAGTGTCGTTTCGCAAGAAACGTTCACCGATCCTCCTTTGCCGTTTCTCATTTCTCGCCTGGTTACTTACTCTTTACCTCTCGTGTTTCCAGAGAGCCGCCTGCCTAGGAATGGTCTCCGGCTCCTCTCTGTCCCTTTGGCCTGCTGAGCTCTGATGGTGCCCTGTGCTGCCGGCAGCGTCCGAGAAAGTGCCGGCGACCAGGCACAGACACGGCTAATAACGCCTTCTCCTCCGGGAGCCGTGGCCTTCTTGGTCCTCGTTTACCCAGAGCCTCTGGGCACTGCTGCCACACGGCCACGTCACACACCCGCCACACCTGACAGCATTTTAGATAGCCGCACGACTGTAAAGTGGCACAAAATAAAAACACTTCGAAACAATTAGTGCCCACAACTGACCCAGGTCCAGGAAGGCCAACTTGTTTTCCGTGAAAATGTCTTGCCGTTTTCCCTTAAATGCACGTACTCTCTCTCTCTCTAAGGACCCTAAGGGGCAGCGACTAAGTTGTACCTCCCCTGACAAAGCATAGCAAGGCTGCACCTCGGGAAGTTCTCGGCCGGCCGGCGGTTAGCGCTGCTCTGTCCCTGCAGGTTGTAATTTTCCTTAAGACACGAAAATTCAGCTTGCTCCCGGGACTTCCTGATGGATGCCCAAACGGAACGGCAGGCTGGAGCCACTTCCTATCACTTTGATTTTCAGAAATGGTCTGAAAGAATGTGCAAGCAAGTACTGTTCAGACAGTTCTCCCGGGGAGGCAAGCCCCAGCCCTCTTTACTCTTGGACGGAAGGGTGACCGGCCGTGGGACCCCGGCACCGCACCGGGACTCTCCTCCCAGACAGGCCCTCACTGCACCCCGCGCGCCAGAGGTTGGGACAGCAGGGACCTATGTAGCTATACTGGGGTGGCAAGCGCTTCACGCTTCCTCAAAACCAGAGCCTAAAAAACAACTCGTGCTTGTCGTTGGCCACGCAGGCTTGTGTTGTGAACTGATGTGAACATGCAGCCCACTCGGGTCACACTAGAAATGCTGTCTCTGCACTATGTCCAGCCGACAGGCTCACCAGCCGCCAATGTGACTGCCTCTGGATGGACCCAATGCTTTCACTACTGTCGCATGCGACGTGATACAAAGGAAAGGTTTTCTTCACTTCCAAACACCCCCTCCTCGTGAAGCTAACTTGGCTCCCCGGGAAAGCCCACGCTCCTCACAGGCTGACACTCGTTTCCTTTGCACTTAACAATATCGAAATTTGGGGGCGATCTGGTCCTGCTGCAGGAAGTGAGTTTTCACCACCTTTAAAAAATATCTTTTTACGTAGTCCTCTTAACCACGATGGTGAACAGGACCGAGCACCCTCACCTTAGTATTTCTTGACTTGACGGAGAACAGGGTAGCTTATCTACTTTACAAGCACCACAAAGAACTAAGTTTAACAGTTTGTCTAAAGCCTCCTTAAGAGGAGGGGAGAGACAGGCCCCTTGCCGGAGGTTCTGGCCCCCAGGCAGACCGTTTTTTGGCCTGTTGCAAAATGTCTTCAGGAGCGGCAGGGCCATGCTGATGACAACTCCCAAACGCTGTGAAGAACGAGGGCCTGAACACAGAAACTTGAATCCTATGGTGGATGCAAAGACCAAAGACGGTTCCTCTCTGAAAACGGAGAGAACCAGCGAGGGAGAATTCAGAAGGAACCTGCAAAGCACCGACTCCATCTTAGGTCTCCCAGTACCGGCTGCAGGCCGTGCACATGTTTACACTAAGTTCCCCACGCTCCCACCGCTAAGGGGAAATTTAAAATGAACGCCAGTGCCTCGCTGCTTAATTGCTAGATGCAGGGGTTTTACTCCATTAATTAAAATATGCTTTAATAAAAGGAGACAGTGCACATTTCGATAAGGACCTTACAAAGCTGAGAAGTATTTACATTGTTGCACTCGGGGGCTGCCCTGAAAGCCGATTTTCAGCTATTCAGGAGCCACGATAATAAAGCTTTAAAATTCCTCACTGGGACGCAATGTAGTTCTTTTCAAGGAAGGACTGTCTTTCTCATTCGGCAGAAATAAATCCATTCATTTGATCATGTAGTCATTGAGGGCGATACAAAACAAACCAAGTGTGAGAAATTCTATGTGATGAAGTAAACAAAACAGAAA